AATAGGTGAAGGGGATTAAGAGGTACAAACTTCCATTTATAAAATAAATAAGCCATGGGGATGACTCACAGCATAAGGAATATAGTCAATAATATTGTAATAACTTTGTATGGTGACAGATAATAACTAGATTTATTGTCATGATCATTTATTGTGATGATCATGTATATAAATTCAAAATACTATGTTGTGCACCTGAAATTAATATAACACTGTATGTCAACTATATTTCAATTAGAAAAAAGAAAAAAATGAATTTCTTAAACTGCTTCAGAGCTTTGGGAAAAATAAAAAAATAAAAACTGGCAAAAATAAATAACAATAAAAACTCATATGCCAGGAGGTGGTATATATTCTGGGTAAGAATAAAAGGCCAATTAAGGGATTGGAGAGTGAAGGGGGTAGAAATGGGGATTGCTATTTTATATTTTAAGTGTCCAAGGAAAGTCTCACTAATAAAGTGTCATTTGAGCAGACATCTGAAGGAAATGAGACACAAACCAGGTCAGTACTCAGAGGACAAACACTGTAGGCAGAGGGAACAGCAAGTACAAAGCCCTGGAGGTGGGATTTCAGACAAGTCAAACTTAGAATGTCCTGAACAGAATCATTACATTTTCTGACAGACTTATTTCACTTAGCATAATACACTCTAGTCCCATCCATGTTGTTGCATTTTCCTTAATCCTGTTCCTATATTTCTCAGTTCAGTGGATGGCAACACCATCCAGTGCCTTGCCTAAGTCAGAAACTGCAAGGCATTGGTCTGATGGGTTATGTGCCTCCTCCACTACACTGGCTGCCCTAAGGCCAGAATCTGTGTCTAGTTCACCGTTATGGATGTGGCACCAAATACAGAGCCTGACACAGCAGTGCTCAGAGAGTGGCAACATCACTCTGGTGGATGCTGGCAACTAAGCTTAATATTAGACCTGAAGATGCCTCATTTGACTATGTTCGACAAATATATGGCGAGCATTAAGTTTGTGCTAAACTATCTGTTGGGTGCTAAGGATACAAAGATGGCCAGAGATCCTCTGCCCTGGGAAACTTGGTCTGGCTCTGTACAATCAAAAGAAACTTGTGGGGGTGCTTACATGGCTCAGTCAGGCATCTGCTTTTGGCTCAGGTCATGATCTTGGGGTCCTGAGATTGGGCCCTGTGTTGGGCTCCCTGCTCAGCAGGGAGTCTGCTTCTCCCTCTCCCTCTGCCCCTCTCTCCCCTGCTCACAAGCTCACTCTCTCTCTCAAATAAATAAAATTTTTAAAAAAGAAACTTGTGTATAAGAAATCATAGACTTGGGGCACCTGGGTGACTCAGTCGTTAAGTGTCTGCCTTCAGCTCAGATCATGATCCCAGGTCCTGGGATCGAGCCCCACATCAGGTTCCTTGCTCAGCAGGAAGCCTGCTTCTCCTCTCCCACTCCTCCTGCTTGTGTTCCCTCCCTCGCTGTCTCTCTCTGTCAAATAAATAAAATCTTAAAAAAAAGAAGTCATAGACTCGTGTGTTTATATCAAAAAGTGGTTTCAAAGTCATATAAGTTCTATAACTCTGAAGATCTGTACATTGGATCAGACAGCAACAGTAGCTAACATTTATTGAAGGGTTTGGATGTATCAGGTTCTGTGCTAAATACTTAAATGAAATACTTAATTCTTACCCCAGTTCTGTGACATGGGTACTATTATTATTCCCATTTTGCAGAAGAGAAAACTGAGATGCAGAGAGGTAGAATAACTTGCTCAGGTCATACCACTCCTAAGTGATGGGGCCAGCCTCCCAGCTCAGGCAGTCTAGTAGCAAAATCACTACACTATTCTGCTTGCTTCACTGAGAAGGACAAACTTAGCTAGCTGAGCCTCAGTCTTTTAGCCAGACAGTCATGGTCTTATACACTTTGGCCCCAGACCTATCTTTTTTAGCCCTAATTTTCAGTTCTTTCTCTCCCCTTATATCAATATGCATCAGCCCCAGGTATCCAGAAACCTGGCTCTTGCCCAACCTACTACACCCTCTCACATTGATGGGCTTTGGACTGGGCAGGAATCCTTTCCCCACTTTTCCGACTTGATATAATCATCAAGGTCATCCCTCCATAGAACTTTTCTCTGATGCCCCTCCCCACCCTGGGGGGAAGGAAGCTCTTCATTTACAATGCTCCAGATCACTTTGGCCAGACTTCTAGTCTAGCTTTCAGCTCCTCTCAGAACTCCATCCACTGAGTGCCCATTCTCCCAGAGTATTACCACTGTACCCCCTCTTCCCAATGCCTATCACCAGGCCTGGCATAGAGGAGGTAGCCATAGAACATTTAGTAAAGAAAGAAAGAAGCACTGTATTCTTGTGGACCAGTCTGTCTACCTGAGTTTATGAAATTGCCTCCATACAGCCTGCACATCTGTTCTCATAAGCTTTTCACTGCAGCCACATGACACCAAGCAGCAGAGGTATTATCTCCATTATGTAGGTGAAGAAACTTAAGACAAGAAAATATTCTTGCTCTCCCATGACTAGCCCCTATAGTGATCAAACAAGTTGACCATGTGTCAGTCCCCATGTGGAAGTGGGGCCTGGAGAACTCCCTCTTTGAGAAGGCATTTTGAGGTACAAGTTTATGACCACACTTATTCTTTCTATACATTGTCCCTGGAGAAGAGTGAACCATACAAATCAGGATCTGTGCTACCCCACCACCACCCTTTCCTCCTTAATGCACACGTGCATAATCTCATCCTGAGACTTAGAAATATCAGGACCAAGAAGAAGGGCACACAGCTGGGAGACATCTTTAGCATGTCGAAGACTACTTTTGTTTTTCTAAAACCCCATATCTTTTGGACCCAGGCCAATGTTCAATATCTGTCCATCCCAAGGCTAACTGGTATGATGCAATGTTTGGCAGCTGGGAAGAGGACATGGAGGACTAGCTCCTGTGACAGGAGTAGCACAGCAGTACCTCCTTGCCTCACGATTATTTCAAGCCCACCACTTGACTGCTTTGCACAGTTCCTCTCTCCCTATTCCCACAGTGGAGACTGCCCTGGCCCTGTTTTTCCCTGGGCTCCAGATTTGGAAACTGTCTTCTTCAAATTGTAACATTTGGCCTACTTCAGAGAATCAGGGTTCTAGGTGAAACATGAACAAATGGCAGGCAACCAGAGGCACAAGGCAGTTGCAGAAGCATACGGAGGAGGCGCTGGAAAAAAGACACCTCCAAATCAGGTCCAACAAATACCAGGATTTTGCAAAGCAGGAAAGCACAGCTCCAAGGAAATATTATAGTTCAGCCATCCAGATGGGGAAACTAAAGCTAGGGAGGAGAAGGTACTTGCCCAACAAAGTCACACAATGAGGCAGTGCACTGCTCCCGACTACCTGCCATTTACCTAGACCCAGGACCAGAATAGGAGGTCTGATGTTCAAGTTGCTCATTTTGGTTGGAGATGTATAGAGTGTCATGGAAGAGAAAGAATTGAGTTCAACTATCAGAGTTGGAAGAGATCAAGGAGCTTGATCAATCTTATACACTGCTTGTGGAGATGAGGTGATACACTGTCCCAGAGAGGAAAATGGACTAGCCAAGGTCATATGGCAAATCTGAGGTAGAGCTGGAGCCAGATGCTAGCCCTAGCAAGCCATGTCATTTCCTGTGCTCCACACATGCAGAGGCAATTGTCCTCCTCTTTCCACTCTAGCAGCTGGATCTTTTCAAGGCAGACAGGAATACTCCTTCTGCAATGCAAAAATAGCAGGCATTGTTCTCGAATCTCTTCCCTCTCCTCAACTTTAATCCCCCCACCCTTTTCAGACATTCATAAGAGTTTTAGGGTAGGGCCTTCTGGATATTCTTGAGCTAGTGGTAGAACTGGATTCTTTATTGCCTCAGCTCACTAGTTAGTCCTTGGCAGCCACTTACTGCCCTCAGGCTAGTTAAGACCCAAGCTCAGGCTGGCCACCTGCCACATCCCAAACACAGAAGCCAGCAAGGCTGGTGCAGGCCTCCTCATTCCACCTTGACCTCCAGTCTGGGTCCAGACAAGATTTTTCTCTCAATTTCTAGACTTTTCAGGGACAGGAAACTGCACAAAGCCTGGCTTACCATGAAAAGGTTGAGGGGCCCTCTAGAGGCCTTGGAGATCCCCTCTTGTTCCATGAAAGGTGGGAAATTTGGGTGAGGGTCAAACTACAGGAACAGGTCTCTCCAGAGAAAAATGAAAGCAGCCTAGGACAGGAGCCTGGGGTTCTAAATTCCAAATCTGCCCCTGTCGCTGGCAGGTTAGGTGACCTCAGGGAAGTGCCTTCCCTTCTCTGAGCAACACCAGAACCTTGGGTAACGGGTGCAAACCGACCTCGATGGTCCCTAAGGGCCCTGGTGTGCCTGAGAGGCCACAGCTGGGGCATGGACTGGACGCTGCAGCTGGCTTTCCTGGCAGGTGAGTCCCCCCTCTGCAAGGCCTGGGGGCGCGCGTCGCGGGGCCCTATCTCTCCACCTAAGGTTGGGCCCGGCGAGGCGCCAAGGGGCTTTGCAGTCCCCCAGGTTCCCCAGCCTCTCCGCCCCGCCTCTTCTCGCCCTCCTCTCGCTCTGGAATAAACTGCCGGGTGGCGGCCTGGGCGCCTCAACACGATTGCACGGCGTCCACGGAAATGGGAGTGTATGCAAAACCGAAACCGAACTCCAGGGCTCCAGCGAGCCCCAGCCGGGCGGGACCGGCCCAGCGAACTCACTGGGTCTCCCAGCCACGATCCGCCCAGTGTGGGGGCGGGAATGGGGAGTCCCAGCGAGGGGTTCTTCACGCTCTCCGCCTCCTGCAAACACCACGCCCGCGCTCATTTGCATTTAAAGGGCAATGCACCAAGGAAAACAGTGGGCGGGGCGGGACACGCCTTCCCACCGTAGCGATTGGGCCACACGCCTGCCAATCAGGGCGCGGACGCCCCACCCTGTGGCTGTGGAGTCCGTGGGGAGGGGGTATGGGGAAGCTGCCCCAAGCCTGGGGAAGGGGACCCAGTGCAGGAGGTGACTAGAGCGGTGGAGGCGGCGGCGGCGGCGGGAGCAGCGGTGGCGGCGATCTCAGCCACAGCAGCCTTAGGCTCGAGCCCCGGCCCGGGCGGCGCAGCAGACAATAACCGGGCTGGAAACCCGACCCGGCCGGGTAAGCGTTGCGCGCAGCCGGGAGCCTCCGCCTGCCCGCCGTCCGGTGCAGTCCCGCGTGCTCCGCTCCGGCCGCCTGAAGAGGGAATCCAAGGGCTGGGCCAGTGGGCGTCCGGGCCGCTCTCCGTTCCCCCTGGGAACCCGCTTTGAGCACTGGCTGGTGAGGGGCAAAGCAGAGTCCTCTGGGCGCCGGCGACCGCGGCTAGAGGGGGTTATAGAGGGCGGGCAGGCAAGCAGGCTAGCCTGGGCCATGCCTCCGGGCTCTCGGGAGAGGCGGGGATGAGGCCCCGCACGTGCTACCGCACGGATCCCGGAGGGGAGCTGCCAGCCAGCACCCCCAGCGGTGCATTTGTAGGCCTGGAGCTCCGCAGCTTTGTTGTAGCACATTATTAGCTGGAACAGCTGTGTTACGTGGGTATTGCTCACCCCAGCGGCCCAGCTGCCTCCCCTTCCCTCCCCTGCGCATCCCCTGCCTCCTTCTCCCCTCTGCGGATGGAGGCAGCGCGCTGGCCTGGGTCCAATGGATACTGGCTTTGGCGTGGATTGGGCTGTCCACACTGTCTGCCTCCTCTCCCAGGGAGCTGAGTTGGGCCTGTGTGCTGCCCACTTAGGAACCTCGGCCTTGCGGGCCCCAACCAGCCGCACCCCCTACTCCTGGGCCTCCAGGCACATCTGGCGCCGGACCCCGCGGACAGGCGGGCTGGCAACGGAGTTCTTGCTGGACCTTAGGTTAGAGCTGCAGCTCAAGCTAGTCCTTGGGTTAGATCTGCAAAGCCGCTTTGTCCCCACTCGCCTCACCTCCTCCACTCGGAGAGCACTGGCCGCTTTTTTCTTTCCTGCCTCCTGTTTAAAAATAGCGATAAGCCTCATGTTGGTGGGGGGGATTTCTGTGCCAGAGGCCAAGGGAGCAATTATTGTAGTAGGGAACTCACCCTTTGGGTCTGTGAGAGAGCTAGAGAGACAGCCAAACCCTCCAACTTCGCAGTTACTTAAAATACACAGCCTGCTGAGCTGCTGTCATTGTCTACTGCAGACACCTTTGACACTGGTGACCACCTGACTGCAGGACTTTGCCCAGGTTCCCTGGTGAAGAGGGGCTGTGCCCTCCATGCGCTCCCCAGTCCAGGTGCCCAGGTAGCAGCTGGACCGGCCCTGCAGAGCTGGCCTCGGTTTGGTCAGACTCATCTTGTCATGGCCCACAGGGTCAAGGGGAGCCTCCTCCTACAGACAAACATTTCCCTCTGTGGCTCTGCCGGCCTGCTGCATAGGCATGGATGTGGGCTAGGTGGAAGCCACTGTGTTATTGGATTCCCTGCCCTACCCGAGGGCATTTTAGCGGAGCCCTCTACCCCCAGTGCAGCTTCCCTCATTCGGCCCCACCCACCGCTCAGTCACTGCACCATGGTTTGCCTCTGGCAATAAACTCTAGGCCTTTCCAAAGAACAGGAGAGAGGGAGTGACAAAGGGGCCTGGCAGGCTCTTCTTGGACCTTTGACCAGCCTCTGAGGGTGGAGAACCCTGTGGGCTGCAAAACCTGGGTATTTGAGAGGAGTAAATCCCTCACTTGGGGGAAGGCTAGCTGGGGACCTTTGTGACACCAGCCAGGACTGCAGATAATACACTATAGTCACTTCTTGCCACTTTGACCAGGCACCAAAGGAAACCAACCCTCTATTTGCAGCTGGGTATCTCCAGCTCAGGACTGGACCTGCTCTCTGCCCTGCCTCAGACCAACAGCCTCCTAATATATCTTCCCTATATAACTCCCCTTCTCACACCCAAATCCACTCACACTGCACTGTGCAAATTCTTTTCCCTCTCAGGCCCCAGCTCTGGGCCCACCTTCTCCTGGGTGTCTTTTCTGCCTGTGTCTTGCAACCTACAATGACCTCTCCTTGCTCAGAACTCCTACAAGCTTGCCTGCATCCCTTGGCCATTTGGGGGCTTAAATTATAATAGGAGTCAAACTATTATTAAGTTTCCCTGCCTCTACTTTGTCTCCCTGATACCATGGATGTTTGGGTTCTCTCAGAACCCCTCAGAGGGGTAAATGAAATCTTGAACTCAGCTACAACCCCCTCAAAGCCTAGCAATTTATAGCAGTTCATGAATGGTCTAGAAAGACTTGCTGTCTTTGTGGAGCTTTCAAGAAGACCTTTACCTCTCCAAGTTGCACTTGTCCTGATCCATATGAAAGTGATTAGAGAAATGATACTCAAGACTCAGGTATTTATTGAGTATGCCTAATGAGAATGGAGAAAGGTGATGGGTTGCAACGACAAGAAAAAAAATTAATCATGATGTCTCCCTTCAGCAACAAGCTCAAGATCTGTACTGCCCAGACCCCAGACTACACATATCTTTGGTTGCTAATTCATGAGCCTAGAGACAAACTACTGTGGAGACAGAAGAAATCTGTATTTGCAGGGTGATCACCCTGGAAGCTTCCAGAAAGTAGAGGGGTTTGGCTAGGCAAAGTAGTGGTATAAGCAAAATTAGGAATGGGAAGGGGTTGTTAGCAGCCAGGCTGAGAAATATGGCTTAGTCTTTTCTGGTTGAGATTTTTGGATTTAAGGTAGAGAGGAGTTAGTGCCCAGTGGTGGGCATTCCCAAATGCTAAGCTATGGAATGGGGGTCTGATCTTGGGAGAATGGGAGAAGGGGCCATTGAAGAATGGAAAATTGGGAAGTTTTGATACTTCTATGTGTGGGTGCAAATATGCCATAATAATATGGGATTTTAGAAAGGGGTCTTAGAGATTGGAAGCATGCTATAAGTTGGAACTGTAAGAAGTCACCTTTGGATCTGGACATAAAACTGAGGGACAGCTATTTCTGGAGGGAAGTTGTACCATGTTGGCTTCCTTTAAGCCTTGCTGGGGGTGAAGTTGAAGGAGGGTGCCTAGAGTCTACATACCAATGTGGTGGAGGCTAAGCATCCCCCAGGCCTCTGATGATCCTCATCCTTCCAACTGGACAGGCCTTCAGGGAGCACCAGTTTGGACTTCTGTGCTTACAAGATGGATAAACTGAGTCCTGGAAAGCAACAAGGATTTCCTTAAGATCACACAGCATTTAGGGATGTGCAAGGGCTCTTACACTGTATCCCACTGTCTCCAGTGGCCTCTGTTCAATATAAATCTTATTAACCAACCTCTAACCTTCCTTACCTCTTCCATTCCTCAAGAGTGAGAAGGTGCTGGGTTTAGCTTGGGGGCCCCATCTGGAGAATTCTACCTCCCCTTTCAGGTCTATTTTGCTTCTTGGCCTTGGTCTGCAGCCTGTTGGGGGTAAAAGTTTCAGAAGGAGGGGAGGTAGCTGGAAGAAGTTGGAAGTCCAATGATTCTCTCTTAGTATGATAGAAGTGTTAAAAATTCCTCAAGAACAGTTACACTCTCTGAAAGTGTGTGTATGAGGCATGGGGGCAGCCTTGCTCCCCTGGTCCAGGGGAATAAGGAAATAAATAGCAGCAAGCCTGGCAGGTCACTGACTTGCTTGTAGAACCAAAGAGGGAAAGGGGGCTTCCAGCCCCCTCACTTACAGATAAGCTACTTGAGGCTAGAAGAGGGCATCCCCAGTGTTATTCCATCACTTGAATCAATTATCCCAACTTGAATCAATCCAGGCTGATAAACTAGGTGATAAAGGTAAAGCCTCCAGATGAGGCATTTCCTCCCTGTGTCACTCATTCCTTGGTCACACATCTCACACTGCCAGGAAATTCTGTCTCTCTCAGGGCTAATCTGAGCCTCTCATGCTATACATAAACCTGTGTGTGTGTGTGTGTGTGTGTGTGTGTGTGTGTGTGTGTGTGTGT